GGCTCTGCTGTAGCGGCCTGCAGTAGGAGCCTGCAGTAGCGGCGGCCCCTAATTAAATGCCTGGCGGAAGAACTTCGTCTTACAGGCCCTGCGGAACTGCAAAAGGTTCCGCAGGGCCCTGATCTCCTCCGGGAGCTCGTTCCACCAGGTAGGGGCTGCCACTGAAAAGGCTCCGGCCCTGGTGATAGCTAGCTTGGCCTCTCTCGGGCCAGGGAGGGTCAACTGATTTTGGGACCCCGACTGTAGTGCTCTCTGGGGTATATACGGGGAAAGGCGGTCCCTCAGGTATGTCGGACCTCGGCTTAAGGATCTTTTCTAGTTCCTTCATGACTGCCATTCCCAGTCTCAGTCTCCTTCTGATTTCTTGGTTGCAGTCTCCCTTTTGGTTGACAATGGAGCCAAGGAATGGAAAATCTTGAAAAATGTCAGTCTCTTCATTATCAGCCTTAAAGTTGTATAATTCTGCAGCAGTCATTACTTTTGTCTTCTTGATGTTCAGCTGTAATCCCACTTTGGCACTTTCTGCTTTGACTTTTATCGGTAGTCGTTTCAGGTCTTCACTGTTTTCTGCCAGTAAAGTGGTGTCATCTACGTTATCTCAGTTTGTTAATGTTCCTTCCACCAATTTTTGCTCTACCTTCTTCTAAATCTAATCCGTCTTTCCTTGTGACATGTTTCAAACCTAAAATAGCAAACCTTTTCTCTAGGATTTCATATTCTGTTGTGGAGGACTGCTATGCTCTTATTTAAAAATATGGCATTAGATAGAGAGGTTTCCAACTTGAACAGGTCTGGACAAGCCATCAAATCATCTGTAAATGAGGATGGACAGTTATCACTTAGAGTTTTAAGAGTAGATGGTTCAGCCATATCACCTTCCATGTTAGTAGATAACAAAGGCTCCATAACTGTCAAGGGAATTTCTGAGGTGTCCATAGGGGCCCTACCATCTAAAGTCTTCCCTTGGGCAGTGGGCATTACTTTTGGGGGCAACACACTTGGTTTAAGAAAGGTGGTGGTCATATCAATGAGTTCTTGATGGAGTCTGTTTTATTGCTGTTTCAAGGGTATTTGTAGAACCCCGCCTGCTGGGCCTGGAGAAGATGGCAGTCTATGAGTCCTGTCCACTCCCTTAAGGTTAAGGGATCCAGCACTAGATAATAAATTCTGCAAAGATGTCTTAAATTTTTTGAAGCTGAAGAGATCTTCAAATGTTCCTCCTGAAAGCTGACCCCCCCCCCTTCCCAGCTGATGTGTTACCTGCTCATGGGCTTACTAAATTGGCTTGGGAGTTTGTTGTGCCAAGGGAAATCAATGAGTCAGCAACTCTGTTGTCAACAGTGTAGGATACGAACAGAGGAAGGACTGCATCCATTGCAGCTGCAGGGAAATCAGAAAAAGGGAAATCTGCCCTCCTACTGCTACTGACAGATATCAGTTGCTGAGCTGGTTTCTCAAGGAAAATCCATTATGAAAAACATTACAGGAATTGCAGGACCACCTAAGGTCAAAAGAATTCTAGTTCCAAGCTTTACAGGTGATAGTTCTTCTATACTCACAAGGCCAAGAGAGTCGATGTCCGCTGGTAGCAGCTGACTCAGTGACCAAAGAATGAATCTTTGGTTAACCCACCGTCCTTTATTCAGCTGATAGGAAATAACAAATGAGGTGATTTGAATGTTCTGTAGCCTACCCATTGATCATTGTAAGGGTTTTCTCAGGCCATTCTCTCTCACCCCTGGAAAAACAATTTGTACATTACTCATCCCTTTGGCTACAGTTGTCATCTAGGGTGTTTATGCACTCAGTTCCAGTCATAGAGGGGGGGGGAGAAGATAAAGCTACAGTGCTCTTACTAAGAGCAGCAAAATCACCGGTGAACTTGTTTAGTTTACTAGAAATACAGTTAAGCTGCTGATAGATAGCTACAGCAGTTTCCCCAGTAAAAAGGCAATGGTCACCTATGAATTTTAATAAAAAATCCTTACAAGAGTCTCCAAAATGTTCCTTAGCACCAGGAGTATTCCTATCCAAATCAGAGGGAGCTGGCAACAGTTGGCTGGTTTATTCCCTCTGGAAACCTCTTGCAGATCCAAAGAATAATCTTCTGGAAAGAAGTAAGACACAAACTCACACTCCACAGCTTTACATCCAACAAGAGATGAAGAATCAGGGATTCAATTTAGAAGAAGAGATTGGATTTATACCCCGCCCTTCACTACCCAAAGGTGTCTCAGAGCGGCTTACAAACTCCTTTCCCTCCCACCTCCCCTGGGAGGTAGGTGGGGCTGAGAGAGCTCTGACAGAAACTGCTCTTTTTCAAGAACAGCTGTGCCAGAACTACAGCTTGCCCAAGGTCATCCAGCTAGGTGCAAGTGGAGGGAATCAAACCCGGTTCTCCCAGATTAGAGTCCGCGCACTTAACCACTACACCAAACTGGCTGTTTCTTACTGTTTCTTTCATTTCATTTCATTAGATTACATTACTGTTTCTTTCATTACAAGAAGGTTATCAATACAAAGCTGCTTTGTAGAGTTAGTTGGAAAACATGTATCCAAATGGGTCCTTGTCTGCTTTTTCTTTCCCATAGTTGATAATTGATAACAATAGCTATAAACTTCAAGCTGCCAGAGAGCAAGTTCAAAAACTCGTGAGAGGATATACCAAGAAGAAAGTCAGTGAGATATCTCACAGCTGTCACAAATTATCTAGTTTCACTGCTTGGAGAAAACACACAGAAGGCCGGCAAACAAAGATAGCAGCTAAAACAGCCAGGGCCCCAATCACACACAGAATTTTCCACGGGATTAGGGTTCCCAAATTGGCCCGGGGGGTGGGGAATCCCCCGCTTTGACGGCCCGATTTTCGACGGGACGAAAATCGGGCCCGGGGAAAACCTCACCCCCACGTGCGCGTCACCCGGAAGTGACGCCGCACGCTGGGGGCGGGGCCATGCCATTTGAGGGGAAAACTCTTTGTTTTCCCCTCAAATGGCGTGGCCCCGCCCCCAGCGTGCGGCGTCACTTCCGGGTGACGTGCACGCGGCGCGCGCGCACACCCAGGACGCCGGCCGGGAGCCCCCCACTCCTGGACAAAAAGAATTTAGCAACCCTACACGGGATACTCTGAAATGCCGGCCGGATTTTACTGCCGCAATCAAACGGACACATCTGGCCAGCGTCCTGCACCCGTCAGCAACCCATAGCAGGCTGCCAAAGAAGCAGAGTTTAAAAGTACCTGGGAAAATCCACTATCAACTGGTTGCGACGGGCTGCAGCCGGACGCTCTCCGTGTGATCGCTCCAGCGTGCTCCTCTCGTGTCCCTGCTTCCTGGTTGGAGCACGCCGGAAACACCTGCCGATGGAAACAACGCTGTCACGTCTGATCGCGTTGGGGCGCATCAGATTGCAACGGTGCAAATCGCCATGCCTCCCCCCCATGTTTTCCTGCACGTGTGACCGGGACCCAGATAAACCAACTGAAAGTAAAAATCTGCTTAAAAAGGGGAACAGCAGACTTTCAAAAGCCACTTATCAATTTCTTTATACTTTAGAGTTTGAACAATTAGTAAAAGTTACAAGACAGTTTTACCACATTTATCAGAAGACATGGCAGGGAGCGACTACACCGACAGTGCCATCTTGCTAACTTTTTCTGTGCTATCTTTATAACCAATACCTCAGTTTCTAGTAGGGTTTCCAGCCCTGGTTATGAAATGAGTATGGATTGATCTCACTGTATGCTCCTGGTATACATTATGCAGATATTTTTTCTTTAAGAGAACCAAACAAAACCTGGTGCGGTTCAGTATAACAGACTGACCATGATAGTTTGCTATTGATTCCAAATTCTTTTGTTGTTAGAAGTTTTTCATCTTTCATGAGGCTTAATTAGGTAACTTTAAGATATGCTTCCTTGGATAGTGTGGCTTTTTGTAATGAGGCCTGATTTCATACGTTATGCGCATTGTTGATCATTTTAATGAAAAAAGACAATGGCAGCTTTCTAAAACTCCTTTACAGGCAAGTTGCTGCTCTTATTTGCCTTTAATTTGAATCCACTGACTTGCCTAGTCTGACATCCAAGCTGGGGTTTTTTGTCTCGCATTCAGAATTCTGCTTTGCCTCTGTAGCTCCTTCACTTACTAGGTTGTTCTGTGCAGTCTAGAGTCAGAAGCCTAACACTCTAGCCAAATGTTATATTGCCTGTGTGCCACTGTTGGAGAATATCTATGTATGACTGTCTAGGTGGGAATGCAGCATACCCTCTGTATTAACCCTACAGCACCCAGTTGCAAAACAGAACAGAACTTTATTAGAACATAAGCTAGGCCTGGTCTGGGCACTGCTAGACCATAATCAGACACAGCCAGCAACCAACACAAGTGAAAAGTAAAAGCAAAGCCTTTTACTCTAAGAGGGCATGTTAAAATAACTATACCACGCAAGATGAGAATGTCAGCAAATCCACAACTGCTCAGTGCTCACAATATAACAACTTCCATGCTGGAAGTTACATGAGAATGGTAGATACCAGGAGGTGGATAATTTAACCTGAACCACAAAATGGTAACTTGAATGTATTGTGTTTTTGATTTTGTTTCTAAAACATTGATTTTTTTTTAAACGGACACAGTCCTAGATTTTAAGCTCTTTGGCTAACTGTGGACATAATGCACCACTTATGATTTTGCACAACTTTCCATTCCATGGGATGTTATCTGTTAAGAAAAGAATTCCATGTGTTTAGTATACCTGGTTTTCTCTAGGATGATGTCAGATGTCTGGCTATAGCCTCTAATTGTATCTGAATCTTGTTCTCAGGCATAGTCTTCAGCTTCTTTAAGGGTTTATAATTCAGATATGGTAACCACTGTGCATGTGGCTGATTTATGACACATTTTCAGTTGTCTGTGTTGCCTGTTGTGCAAATTTAAATTTGTTTCTCTTTCTATCTCCTCCCCCCCCCCCCCCCCCCCATCTTTTAAAAATGCACACAGGGACATCCGCTGTTGGTGAAGGCCTTGTCCCAAGTTTATGGAAAGGTTTGTGGAAGAAAGATCGACCCATACACTGACATCCTGGTGACAATAGGAGCATATGGATCTTTATTTAGTGCAATGCAGGGACTCATTGAAGTAGAAGATGAAGTAAGTTTTCGTGAAGCATCTCACTTTTTTAAAAAAATGGTCATTAAAAAACTCCTTGAAATCCACCCAAGGCTGCCTGCTAAATGTTCAAACACACTTAAAAATCTGTTTCCTGGGAGGATGGTTTGTTGAAGAGAATTGGGCTTTGTTCTTTGCAGCAGAATAAATCCAACTTTTGACTAGGATTGGTTCCTAGTTGACACCTTAGCAGAACTGTTGAATAGTCTCTGCCTTTCTGGAGCTGAATATTACATGATTGCATTTGTACTTCCTGCCTCTTGGCCTTACTGTTTGTTTGATTTTTTAAATTCCCTCCTATATAAAAGGGCTGCCTGGTGAAGAGCTACTCAGTGCACGCAAAGAAGAGTCCTACTTATTTTTGAAAAACAGATCACTCAACCCCACCATACTTGTTTTGATTATAAATTCTCTTCCTTGGATGACCCCCTGGGACTGGAAAAATTCTAGGTATCTGGTCATCCAGATGCTTGGAAAGTTTGTACTAATCCTGAAGAGACTGGTATATTTTCTCAGCCTCTAAGCCTTTTGTTTGGGATGAGCCTGTTATGTATAGGGATTTCTCTCTCTGGCCATTTCTACTCAGGTTATCTGTCACAGGTTCAATACTTTATAAAGTGTGTTTTTCCCTGCTTCCTTACAGTATTGGTGTTAGGCTTGCCAAGCCCCCGCTAGGGGCGGGGGAAACCCCGATTTTCAACCCCCAGTCAAGGGCACTGGAAGGTAAGGTTTGGGCTGGCCCAGGGCTCTGTCTCATGGTCTTGTTTGTTTTTCCCCCCCCCCCCCCCCCCCCCCCCCCCGCACCGGCTGGCTACTGCTCATTTTAAAAGCACGGGCAGTCATTTCAGAGCTCTGTTTTGCCTCCTCCACCACCACCTAAAAGCAGGAAGGAGCGAAAGGGAGGCTTCTAATGGCTTCTTTCCTATTGTTTTTCTGCCTGTCTTTCTATCTTCCTTCTTTCCTTCTTTTCGTTTTTATTTCTGTCTTTCACTCCTCTCTCCCCATCTTTTTTCTACCTCTCCCTTCCTTCCATTCTGTTTTTCTCTTTGTCTTTCTCTCTCTGTTTTTCTGTCTTCTTCTCTTTTTCTTACTTTGCCTTTTCTCTCTCTCTCTCTCTTTCTGTGTTTCTGTCTTGCTCTCTTTCTATCTCTCGATCTTTCTCTCTCAGTCCATTTTTTGCTTTTGGTGCATAATGCCTTCAGCTCACACACACAATACCACTTTTGTCACCTCTTCTTTTCTATGAATTGTTTGGAACAACTGCCTAATCCCCATTTTCTGCTGAAATTGATCAGTGCTACTTAAGACTAAACTGCATATTTTTTCCTCTCTAACCTTGTCTGGTCGGTCTTTCTTTCTTAAGGGAAGAGAGATTATATTTGAATAGTTTCTATAATTATTTTTAAAAAAACAAAGTCTGTCTGCTCACAATTTTAAAACTAGTTCCATAGCCAACACATGGTAACCCTATAGGGTTTTCAAGGCAAGAAACATTCAAAGGTTGTTTGCCATTGCCCGCCTCTGCATAGCAACTCTGGGCTTCCTTTATGGTATCCCATCCAACTACAGACCAGAGCTGACCCTGATTAGCTTCCAAAATCTGTTGAGATCAGACTAACCTGCACCAGCGGAGGCCATGACATGGTGTTATGTAGGCAGGGCTGCTGTGTGGGTGCTTCCCAGGCAGTCCTCTCCAACCTGTTCTTGGGAGCCACAATCACTAGGGAAGAGCCATGTGTCAGAAGGGTAATAATAATTTACTCAAAGTTTGGCAAATTGGTCTAGGGACCTAAAAGAAGAGAAGGTATTAGCGAGCTCCGTGGTTAAGGATTTGAATAGAGCTCTTTATAGTCCAATCCTGAGGACACTTCCCTGGAAATAAGACCCCTTGAATAGACCTGAGTGGGATGACTCTGTTAGACTGATGAGGAATTGTTATAGGAAGGGGGTAAACAATTAAAGTATATGAGAGACAGAGAATGCCTGAAAATGTGATACTGTCACAGACCTTGCAATAGTATTTTAGCTAACACCACCTAAGCAACTCCCATCCTGTTTCTACAATTTCTAAAATGTACTTCATACTGGCTGTGCATCTCCCTTCCTAATTCATCTCAACTATGTACAGCTTCTATGTCATGCTTCATTTGGACTGCTTTGCTTCCTCAGGTTCTAGCCTCCTCCTTTTCTTTAACCATGGTTCTGTGTCCCCTTCCTCAAGCTTTGCTGCTTGTCCTGACTCTCCAAAGTCAGAGCAGTTTGGCCAGTGGCAACCCAAAATACATCTGCCTGTCCAGGAAGTTCAACTAAATGCCACTAGAGATTTTGTCACCACTGTTACGTCAATTAAT